TTACTCCAATTCACATCTTTCAACTGCGTAAATTATAACTGAAACACCAATTCCGCAGTTATACGTATTTTAGGTTTCTATGTTCGCTTTTACGTACTTCCATTCTATAGCTTATTGCGAATATCAAAATTTTCATACAGTTTTCCTTCCATACAGTTTACCTTTAGCAATATTGCAAACACGAGCAGTTAAAAATATTTTTGATCAGTTGATGTGACTTTTAAAAGTTCCATATTATAATTTTCACATATCTACTCCTACCTTTATATTTTATCATCTTCACTCACCTCGCAAATTTTTGATCACTGCATTATGTGTGAATGTGGACTTTCTTATAAATCTTCTTTTTTTTTATCTCCAAATGTGGCGTCTACTTTTTTTTGCACAGTGTCAATTACAAAATTGATTTCGAAGTTTCAAGAAAATTTTTAATGGTTTGCATTTTCCTTGTAATCACAATGAACTAAAATTCCAAAAATTATTCCGAGTTTGTCATACATTTTTGTCCATCATGTTTGTGATTAAAATTATATAGACTTCCAATCTTTTAATACAGTTTAAGACATTTGACGTTCAGATATTAATATATACAATTTCTTGACATCTATCTCTTCCTTTGGCAAGTGTACCCGAATTTCAAAGTCTCTTTTAGACTTTTTAAGAAAACGCTTAGATTTTTGAGTACTCCCTGTCTCATTACTTGCCAAAGTGATTTTTAATAAAACTTTTTACTAATTTCCACTTTTATTTGTGTTTTAGCATATTTTTGCTCGCCACTGCAACCACATTTAAAGGCCACCCTTTTCGTTTGTTTTTTCCTTTGTTCTTTCCTCTTACCCTATGGATATTTTCTGAACGCTACACTTTAAAGACCACTTTTTCTTTTTTTTTAATCTTATCCTATAAATTTTCTAAATGACCATCCTCTTCTCCCCAAGAGTGAGATAGGCATGCATCTTTAACAACTCTTACATAAAACAAACACATGTTACACCAGTCCACATGTGCGTTCGCGCTTGTTTTATTAGATACAAATCATTTTTTTAGCTTGCCTCGTGCTCTAAATGCAGCATATACCGCAAGCGATCGATCGCTATGTTTACGCTTCTAACACGTTAGTCGAGGATGTCATATCTCTTCCCAATATTTATGATGATCATGGTCTGTCCAAATTAAACGTTGTCTCAACACTAAATATAATATTGCCTACTAGCTCTCTCTCCCAAAAAATCAATACGGGTGTTTATGGTGTTGTGTTAAGCGTGTTTTGGCAATTTTCTGTTCATATCTAAGAGCTATATCGTCCATAAGAAATTTCTGCACACACTATTTCTGTACATTTAGGCCTCATTCTACATTCTATAGTCCTTATATTCATTAGTTGTTTTGTGTCAAATATGCCGCTTAGTACTCTAATCTACGCTGGGGTGCATCCACTGCGCTTTATGCAACGGTAATTATCAAAGTCGTTTAGGTAATATGAGGCTGATTTGAAGTGCAGGTTTATCGCAACTGCTCTCTCGTCAAGCTTGTAATATGAGGTTTTTTCTTCTTTCACGATCTCGTTTCGTTGTCATTAAAACAATAAAGAATCGAACGAAGAGTTGTGAACTTCTCGCTCGAAAAAGCCAATATTTGGGTCGAAAAGAAGAAGAACGTCAGTGAAGGGATTTTTAGACGTCGGAATGAAAAAGGAAAAAAGATTAAAATATGAATGAATATGAAATATTTAAAAATGTAAAGTAAATTAAGATCCAGAATTGTAAGGTAAATTAAGCAAAGAAAGAAAAATAAAGTTGGACGTTTTTCTATGTAAATGGACAGATTTCCTTTGCGTGCTTAAGTAAAAGAAGAAGGGTTTTTTCTTGTCGGAGGTGGAGGAACGCATGCGATTATAGCAGAGCGGAAGAAAAAAATTAAATTATTCCTGGTAAATTCTTATTTGGCATTTTTTTGATAAAAATAATATTATATAAAGAAAAAAAATAATGACGCGTGTTTTGTTTGGTATGAATAGTTAAGGCAAGAAAATTAGTTAGACAAACCTCTGGAAGGAAGTTAATCAAAAATTGAAAAAAAAGTAGAACAAGTAAAAGAAAAATATCGGATCGTGAAAAAGAAAAGAATTGAGGCGTTAGTTTGAATATGTGAACAAAGGGGCTAGTAGGGTTAACTTTTGATTAGAAAAACAGAAAAAACAAAAGAAACATAGTCATGTTTATACATACAAATATTTCTGCACATGGTATGGTATATGGCACATCTCATATATGCTTGAATGTCGCAGTTCGACTTTCGCTGTCACTATTATTTGACAATTCCTATGCAAGCTTATTTTTATTGGCGCTAATGTTGCGGTTTAATTTTTGTGAAGAAGAACTTTTCTATGCAAAAACTTTTCTAAATACTGATGAACCAAACAGAACAAGCAGGATGTCGAATGAATTACTAAGTTTTTAATCAGTAGATTATTATTTAGCATCAATATTCAAATAGTATTTAATACGGTAAAAGGATTAAGCCTCTATTTTTATTGTCCCTTTCACATATAATTTTTTTATGTATATAAGTAAATACAATTTTTACAATACTTCCTCTTGCTCACACAATTTACGGGTCTTTAAATATTTTAAAAATTCAATTCTTCCTCTTGCTTACACGATTTTTACAATTGTTCCTCTTGCTTTAAGGGTCACTAATATGATATACTGTCTTTTTTATTTATTTCGTTAAACTTGAAAAAATGAAATAATAAAAATTAAAAAAAAAAATTGTGGCGAAACGTAACTAATTAGTTTAAATCATTAGAGGCGATCATAAACTAGGCAGTTAGGGGTTTTGGGACCCAACTTCGGTTCCCCTACAAACTTTTCTATTGGCCGAAGGGAAAGCAACAGGCAGGGTAAGTGAAGAATGTGGGCAGTGGCAAGTCTCCGATCGGTTAGTTGAAGTTTCGCTCGTCTGGTATTCGGTAAGGGGCAAGTACGTGCAAATTCTTTGGTGTAACAGTCCGTGAGCATATTATAGAGTGCGTCTACCTTATAGGCTTCTTTAGCCTTTTTTAGCTTCACAGTTTAGAAAGTAGAATTAAATTTTAATTTTCGTTACAATTTTCTTACCAGCAAGTCCGATTACTTTAATTTTCCAGCACTCCTCCTCCGAAAGGTCATTTCCACATGACATTTTCAACTAGGAACAAAAGTATGAATACAATCATTCTTTAAAATATATTGATAATAAGTTGCTTATTCACCCACAACGAGACATTTTTTATAAAACACAAAAGAAAAATTGAAATGTTCACTATTCAGCAGCAGAAACTCGGATGCAGATAATTGAACATATAACTATTTTCTATTGACTTAAAAACGTATTCCGATAATCTCAGATAATACCAAAGAAACAAAGAAAGAAGTGTTTGATAAAGAGGACAAAAATATCTTGTAGACCAAAAGGTAATTTACTATTAATTCACGGACGGAGAAAATAGAACTGTATTTATTATAAATGGTATCATTACAATAATTTATATTTATCTATATATGTTTATATTTATCCTAAAGACATAAATTTTGAGGCTGAAGGTGGGCACCAGCAATAGTCGATTCAGAGAAGATAGACTATATGGTTAGTCTACTTATTTAAAATAAAGTTAACATTTTTATACATATTATCTTCTGAAGATATCCGCAGAGCTAGATAAAAAACTAACTGTATCAGTGGCGGCTTATCATACTTAACATTCCACTTTTTATTTTATTGATATTATGTTCTGCAAGTACTTTCACCATGTCCATAGGGGTAGTAACATTTGTTCCATTTACAATCCGATAATGGATTTTCAATTTCAACGCTTATTATTCACTGCGGCGAAGAACAAAGTTGATATGCCTAGAGAGAATGTACAGGCTTGGAAGAAAGAAGAGAAAAGACAAAATTGATCCAGACATTCACGTTACGTGTCACGAATTATTTAAAAAAAGTATTTTTTAAAGAAGAAATTAGATTTATAAATAAAATTATTAAAAGTGAACGTAAAATAAACAGAAAATTAATTGTTAAAAAAATTTTGTTAATGAAAAAAGTCTTGGTCGTCGCACTTTAAAGAACAAAGAAGCAAGTACCTTTAAACAGCATAACAGATAAGGAAAAAATATTCCTTGAAAAACACGAACACTATTAATACTATGTTGTCAGAAAAAAGTGTTATATTTTCCAAGTAAGGATTCGCAATAAAAGATTTTAATCTAATAGATTTGATGAACGGTTACGTTCTAAGCGTTTCTGGAATACAAAAAAAAAAACTATTTCGTAATTCACCCTATAAGAATTATGAAGCCAATAGCTTTTGAAAATGAGAGAAAAATTGGAGGCCATTGTCGAATCATAACGTCTTAGCTCCCTACGGCTGCATCACTCTCCATGTATTCATTGAATTGAATTATGATTTTTTGGTCAATTATTGCTACAGTGCGGCCACCAATCGGTAAATTATAAATTTTATAAAGTAACTTAAATATGTGTAGTGCGTGTATTTAACTAATCTAATATAAATTTTATATTTATGCACAGCAAAGTTAATTTGGCTTCTGCGCAACCTATACAACGCGAAAAACCTTCGTAAATGTCTCATTATTATATATGGGCTTCGAAGCAATTGTATGCTGCTTATTCAACGTAATACTTAGGTACCCGTTTTCATATCCATTATTAACGTATTGGTATATTTATACATATGTATGTAAGTTGAAAAAGCAACGGGCAAATGTTGCTAATAAAAAAAATTTGCGTATAGCGAATTCAAAAGAAAACGTATGAAATCGAAGGGAGGTATAGCGAATTCAAAAGAAAACATATGAAATTGTTTACAAATCAAATAGAGATGCAGCGAAGTCGAAAGAAAACATATGAAACATTTTTTCCTTCAAGATTTTTACATAATTTTTTTGAGTGGACGGTTATCACATTCCTTATTAGATTATTATTATTACTATTTTCAGCTCACTCGCCACAGTATCGCGCACTATTTCAATTTTTACTTGATTCTCTTCTACAGAAGAGATATTGGACCGACGGAGACATCAGCTTGAACATATTGATTATGAATCGCATAAACGCAATTTAGTTCGTTTAACGACACCCAAACGTATGTATAAAAGCTTCAATTGAGTTGTTCATTTTTTCGATAAAACAAATATTATCTACTGCCTTTAAATTGTATTTCATTAAACTCACAGCGGCAGCGATAGCTTATGTAAATATTAAGTCGAGAATATGTCGTTCAGTAAAGCGCCTTTTAAAACGTACCAAACGCAACATCGCAATTTATTTTCTAGCTGCTGGCAACTCAGAAACACTTCATAAAACTGGCAACATTTATACCATTTACGCACTATTTTCTTAATTGGCGCTACAAAATTAGGAAGAACTGCGCAAAAAGCGCAACTGCGAAATTGCTTATAACTGCATCGAAGATTTATTTAGAAGAGTGGAAATATTTATGATTGTTAGTAATAATGAAATGAAGATTAAAAAATTAATTTAAGCATCAATTTGCGGAAGTCATCCATTTCAACCACCCGAAAAAAATGTTGGGTAAAGTTTTGAAATTTTTATATATAGAATTATGTTAAACTTTGTGCAATGTACGATGTTAGCGGTGCTTTGGAAGTTGTTGAATAATCCCTGGCGCTTACACGCACAACTGACGATTTATATGAGTTTGAAGTGTTTCAATGAAACGGGTGTTATCTGGGTATCTTTGACAATCGTACTTTCTTTTATATATTATTTAGCGGAAACTTGATAGCTAATTACGATTTCGTGGACGAAAACGATTTTGATAGACTGTTATGATTTACGTATTAACAGCGATAAATGTATTATGTAAATGTAAATGTGATTTTCTAACGAAGAAAACCTGCGTGGTGACTCGCGGCCCGAATATTATTTGTAGTGACTTTATCAGATATTATTGTCCGCATTCCGTATGTAGCGAAGTTCTGGAAAATACGCGGCATAGATTAGAGCAGCCAACCTTTTGAGCCAATAGCGCCACTTGTGAGTTCTTGCCTGTGTTCTAGTTGCTTTTATTATCCCTAAATGTTCGAAAAGTCATCAGAGAGATTGGTCTTATCCTTTGTTGAGGGACAGCTACTAAGCAGAGACTGCCATCCCTTTCCCGTGAGTCAAGTACCTCGCTGTTTTTCAGGGATAACGACTATGCTGAGCCTCACATCCCCTGTCCGTAAGTCAAACAAAAAGAATTATCCCAAAGAATTATTTTGCCAGACGTCCATGGCTGTTGTAATAGAAATGAAATCCATGTGCCTGTTACAGGTCGGCATGCACTATAAAATATATGTGTTATATCAATGCTACGTTATATATTTATTTAATTATTGATTTTAATTCTACTTATACATGAAACTCAACTAAACAAATAAAAGTCGAGTTCAATTGGCACTTAAAGCAAAACTTATATTAATTAATAATAGAACTTAGTACAAGTATAATAAAATAAATAAGAAGGAAAAAAAGAAAAAAGAAACAAGCATGTACACAACCAGCATAGAGCCACACTTACAACCAGTTCAGGAACAAATTGCAAATAAACCCCTAAGCCATCGCAAACATGCATAAGCCTGGCAGCCGATAATAATTAACAACAATTTTGGAATCGTAACGACTTTTTAAGGTTAAAAGCTAGTACGACATACGTAAATCGTGCCTATTAAGCAATGTTGCTTTAATTGACTTTAAAGAGTCCGATAATGAGAATAAGTGATAGACGTCATTTAGGTTCTTGCAAACTACTCTGAGCGGATTAAACAGTTCCCAATTATATTTACACTGACTAGGCTTAACCAAGATAAAGTGAGAAGCTTATTCCACCAAGCAATGAAGGCGAGTCAATAGCACCATTTATTACTTTGATTACAAAGAAAACTCCAAGAACAAACCTAAGTTTCACAAAAGACGGTAAAGACAGCAGAAGCAACCTATTTTCATAGGCTGGAAGAGGATCAATCAGGTGCCAAGCCAAATTCCTAAGGGCAAACAGCAACAATAGCTTGTGAACAAATTCAATTGAATCTACGTAGCACTTATATGAACGAGACCACACAACAGAGGCATACTCAAGTATAAGCCTAACTAAACACATGTAAAGACTTTTCGTAATATAAAGATCATCAAGCTCTTTGGACCACCTTTTTATAAAACCAAGCGCGGACCTAGCTTTGCTTATCGAGAGCTCAATATGCAAGTTGAAACGTAACCTATAGTCAAATACATCGCCTAAATCTGTGGGAATTAACCACCGATGGGAGATCATTAATGTATAAATGAAATAAAATAGGACCTAAGTGACTTCCTTGAGGTACCCCAGACGTAACGGGGAATTCATCCGAGGTGATGGAGTTAAACAAAACCCTGAAGGATCTATTGTGCAGATAAGAGCTTATCCATTTCCCTAAATAGAAAGTGAAGCCAGAGGCTTGGAGTTTAAAGATAAGTAAGTTATGGTTAACCATATCAAACGCTTTGCTTCAATCAGTGTATATCACATCTGTGCGGAAGCCACTAAAAAAAGCCTTGAAAACATAGCAAGTAAACTCTAACAAGTTAGTGACTGTAGATCGCCCTTTCCGAAAGCCGTGCTGGTGCGGACAAATATACGAATTAATGGCAAAGAGCAAGTTCTGTGTCACAATTCGCTCGAACAACTTAGGCAAGACACTCGACTTGGCTATGACTCTGTAGTTCTCACACAAATTGTTTACTTGTATTTTTTTGGATAGGAATAACGAAACTACTCTTCCAACACGAAGGAAAAACACCTCAATTCAAGGACAGGTTAAAAATCTTTGAGATCACACCACATAACTCCACAGCGCAAGATTTAATGTATGCGCTACGAGGTCGGCACTGCTTGATCTGAACAGATGCAGCAATAGCTAGATTTAATGTATTGTAGAACGATGACAATAAGCTTTCAATATTTCCCGTTGAGAAATCAAGCCTCATATGTGAAAGACGATGTTTTTTTTAGCAATACAATATTGATTTTATGAAAATAATATTTATTTAAAAAAGTTTGATTTGGCACATTAAGCCAGTTCAACGAATCATCATGCTTGTGATGAAAGGAAATGCACATTGCTGGATGATAAGGATCCCCAGGTAAACTAATATGTGGACAACCGTTTACACTAATCTCAGGGAAATTGGCAAAGTAGAGTTCAAGCAGTCTACCGCTACAATTAGTGGTACGGTTATATTGAACCAAATTATAATCAAAGAACTAAAGAACTCAACAACCCTATCAGACGTTGAAGTAGGAATCAAACAGCCAGAACTATCACTGTAACACCAAGTAGCTTGAGGCCAGTTGAAGTCACCCAATGCAACCACCGAATCGTTACGTCTAGACCGCTTGGCCACTTCACAAATGAGGGCAGCGTGTTTCTTGTAAATGGAGATCAGAATTTGGGGGAATATAGGAGCAGGTTATAAATAGCTGTTTATTAGGCATTTTCGAACGAATGGCGGTAAATTCAACGTCAGGAGAAGTGGGAAATTCTATTGAATTGGACGTGACTGACGCAGATATGGCAATTAATACACCAACACCAATGCGATCATTTCTAAAGACTTGGAAAGAATTGTGAAAAAGTTCCGCGGAATGAAGATCACATTTTAGCCAAGTTTCAGTGAAGGCCAAACAGAAAAACTCCGTACTCACTGGATTTAGAAAAGTAAAACGAATTTTTGAATTTAGGGCCCTAACATTTTGATAAATGAGAGATAATGGGCCTGAAGAAACATTTAGTTTTTTGAAGGCAACAAGACTATTGCTTTGGTATTACGGGAACGATCTCGAGCGATAAATTCCTTAATCAAGGATCCTACTGGCCACAGTGATTTGTTTAACAACATATCACTGTTTTCAGTCGGAACTAATATTTTAAAAGAGGAGATTGCCCTAGCTTGAGAAGGAGCCATTTTGAAGATGCTAACACGCTTTAAGTTGACTGATGGGACTTTCGTCGCCAGATAACCTTTTATGTTATCCACCGATGTTTCAGGTGCCAGTCTTGACACAAATATTGCTTTTCTGGGAGGAACTGGCGTCAAGAAAATGTCATTATTTGGAACAGGAGGGGGGTTCACAGTAGAAGAGTTTCGAGTTGGGGAAAATATAGATGGGGTTATCGCCCTTGTACCGGCAGCTTGTGAGACTTGCCCAGTCTGGTGACCAGCATTCACACGCGAACAGCCAGGAGGAGAGGATGACTTATTTTTCTCTTCATTATTTTTAGGCGATGGCTCTTGATTAGAGTGAGTGGCGGCTCTGGGGGAGGTACCCTTGCCACTTCAGCCTAGCTTAAAACAGAAAGACTTGCCGGCTTGTTTGTAACTATGTTGTTATCGACCGACTTAACAATATCGGAAGCATTGACGTTCATTTTAGAGTTAGAGGGAGCGGTAACTTGTACTAACGAATCAGATTTAGAAGAACTCAGAGGTGACGTCCCACACGCTACACTACGAGTTGTTATCTTTCTGGCTTGGGTAGAAGATGAGTGCTCAATGAAACGACATTCATCAAACCTACCTAGACTTAATTAGCTCAAACTTCTCCCACAACGAGCTGAGATTTCTACCCAATTCCGAGAAACTATTTCGCGTCTCCCTGACACGTTTGCAGAAATCAATGTCTCGCTGCCTACCGTCAGGGCATGACCATTTAAGCCTTTGCGCTCGCAGACCCAACATGAAACGAATCTTTCCGATTCTGGGTCTGTTTTTGCGCGACATGGTATATATAAGCACTCCATGTCAAGTCAACACAAAGAAAGAAGTGAATTATTAGGACAAAAAAGAACAAATTCAAAGGAATCCACAACACTAAGTTTATCTATAAATTTAAGATATTTAAGAAAACTTCTCCGTTCCGTTGTTACTGTAACAAGAGCGCAAAAGAACAACAGAAAGCAAAACCAAACTGGAAGCACGAAAAAAAGAGAGAATAAAAATCAGAAAAATGATCTCTAAAATTACACGTAAAATTTACACTACTGAAGTAACGGTAAAAAAGCCAAGAGCTTTTAACACCAAAGGAAGAAAAAAAAAAAACTCAAA